GGGTATTATGCTGAGTGAAATAAGTTAATCAGAGAAAGACATGTATCCTATGACCTCACTGATATGAGGAATTTTTAATCTCAGGAAACAAACTGAGGGTTGCTGGAGTGGTGGGGGGTGGGAGGGATGGGGTGGTTGGGTGATAGACACTGGGGAGGGTATGTGCTACGGTGAGCACTGTGAATTGTGCAAGACTGTTGAATCACAGACCTGTACCTCTGAAACAAATAATACATTATATGTTAAAAAGAAGAAGAAGAAGAAGAAGATAGCAGGAAGGGAAAAATGAAGGGGGGGAAATCGGAGGGGGAGATGAACCATGAGAGACTACGGACTCTGAGAAACAAACTGAGGGTTCTAGAGGGGAGGGGGTGGGGGGATGGGTTAGCCTGGTGATGGGTATTCAAGAGGGCACGTGGGACGCCTGGGTGGCACAGTCAGTTAAGCAGCTGCCTTCGGCCTGGGTCGTGGTCCCAGGGTCCTGGGATTGAGTCCCACATCGGGCTCCTTGCTCAGCGGGGAGCCTGCTTCTCCCTCTTTCTCCCTCTGCTTGTGCTCTCTCTGTCAAATAAATAAAATCTTAAAAAAAAAAATAAAGAGGGCACGTACTGCATGGAACACTGGGTGTTATACGCAAACAATGAATCATGGAACACTACATCAAAAACTAATGATGTAATGTATGGTGATTAACATAACATAATAAAAATGAAGAGTTTATGATGTTTCTGGATAAAAGAAAAACATAAAAATTAGTAGCTTTTGTATCAACAATAATGGATAGGAAGTTAAAATGTAAAAATCAAATCTCATTCACAAGGGTGATAAAAATCCATAAAATATTTAGGAATAAATTTATCAAGAAGCATATAGGTCTTCATATTATGAAGAACATAATTGTATTCTGAAGGACTCCCACAAATACTAAAGTAATAGACCTACAATGTGTCTGGATAGGATGACTTCACAGTAAGAAGTGAAAATTTTCTAAACTAATAAATATGTTTAATGCTATTTTATTTTTTAAAGATTTACTTATTTATTTTAGAGAGAAAGAAAGCACAAGTGGGAGGGGCAGAGAGAGAGGGAGAGAGAATCTCAAGAAGACTCCATCCTAAGCATGGAGCCCCATGCAGGGATTGATTTCACAATCCTGAGATCATGATTTGAGCCAAAACCAAGAGTCAGATGCTTAACCAACTGTGCCACCCAGGCGCCCCTATTTAATGTTATTTTAACCAAAAGCTTATTTTTAAAAATTTGACACTAGGAAAAATGACCTTAAAATTTATTGGAATAATAAATGTCTGAGGAGAGCCAAGAAAATTTTATTTTTTATTTTTTTAAAAAGATTTTGTTTATTTATTTGACAGAGACAGCGAGAGAGGAAACACAAGCAGGGGGAGTGTGAGAGGGAGAAGCAGGCTTCCCGCCGAGCAGGGAGCCCTGAGCAGGGCTCGATCCCAGGACCACGGGATCATGACCTGAGCCGAAGGCAGACGCTCAACCACTGAGCCATTCAGGCGCCCCGAGCCAAGAAAATTTTAAAAAAGACTTTGTGTAGCAACTTGCCTTTCTGAATATTAAAATTCATATTAAAAGCTACACTGATAAAAGCAGTATGTTGCCATGGGAACTGATAAATATATTCATGGATATGTCTATATATTCATATGTAAAATAGTGTATTAACAGATCCAAATATATACATAAAACTTAATAAATGACAAAAACGTCTTAATTAAATGGGAAAATGATGGTATATAAATAGGACAGACATACTTTGCTGTTTATCTGGATGAAAACAGAGCCCTAGAGGGATTAAAGCTCTGGATGTTCTTAACTAATATAAATTAACAGCACTGAATTTCAGATAATAAAAATTAGATAAATTTATTTTTATAAAACGCTAAAAACTGAAAAACACCAAATTTATAATAATTTATAGACTAAGAATAAAAGTTGTAACCTGACAAATAGCCACTATTTCTATTATATAAATGACCTCTAAAAATTGACAGTAAAAGACAAACAACTCAAGTAAAAAGGGGCAAAACATATGAAGGCAAGTATGTGGACAGGAACATATGTGGCTAAAACTCATGGAAAATAGACTTTTCTCTTCTAGTAGTTAGGAAAATGAAAAGAAAAACAAAATTACATTTTCTCCCCAACACGTTGGCAGAGATAAAAAAGAGCAATCATCTTTGTTGGTCATGAATTTATATAAAGGAAAAGAGGATGTTCATTTATTTACCATGGAATATGAATTTTTTTGGCAAGAAATCTAATAAAAAACCCATCATTTTATTCAGCTTAATATAGTGTTGTTTATAGAAGTACAAACATATAAATTCTGAAAAACCATCAGCTGGGAAATATTTGAACAAATTATATATTTAATATTCAGCAGGTACTTAAAAAAATGAGGTTAGAAACATCGGAATTAATTTGGGCAAATGTCCATGATACATTAAGCTAAAAAATCAAGTTGTGCCTTGTGTTCCCATGTTTGTTTTAAAAAACACAAAAATAAAACAAAAATAGCAATCAACCAAAAAACCAAACAACAACAACAACAAAAAACAAACCAGCCTGTATATATGTATTAGGATAGATTTAGGTACATATCAAAATTTTAATATTGATTATCATAGAAGCAGGCACCAGAGGGTGTGTCTGTGGTTTAACTGCCTTTGTAGTAAAAGTAACTGATCTCCCCCTAATTTTACTGAGATATAATTTACATGTAACATTGTATTAGTTTCAGGTGTACAAGGTAAGGATCTGATGTATGTATATATTGTGAAACGATTACTATAAGTGGACATCCATCACCTCACACAGTTACAAAATTTTTTCTTATGATGAGAAAAATAGCTTAATATTTTAGAAGGTTGGCAACTGTGGATAAGTCCAAAGAGCATAAAGTAGGAGCTGTAGACCTAACCCCACCCTCACTTGCAGTGTGACACTTTCTGCCTTGATCGTCTCATCTCTCATGTGTGAGTGGTAGTAACCACCCTACTTATCAGGCTATGGTGTTGTTGTTAAGATAAAATGAGGGATGAAGACAAACATAATTTGAATAGTTAAAAGATGTTGAAATGCAAGCTATTATCCTCAAGAAAATTCTCAAACATTCTCAATTTATATGATGCAGGTGACAAAATCATCCGAGGAAGCATCTTCCCTTCCCAATGGCGACGTAGTGGGAGAGGTACAGGGCAGCACAGAGGTAAGAGTTAGTATCTTGAACCATCCTCCCCCAGACTAGCTTCCTCAGAATGTCTACTTGGTTCTCATTTTTCTGTCATTCTACTTTACATAGATAGAATATCTATCTATCTATCTATCTATCTATCTATCTATCTATCTATCATCTATCATCTTTCATCCATCCACCTACCCATCATCCATCCATCTATTTATTCTCTATGTATCTTTGTATCTATCATCATCCATCATCCATCCACTTATTCTCTATGTACCTATGTATCTAGCATCATCCACCATCCATCATCCATCCATCATTCATCTATTATCCATCCATCATCCATCCATCCATCATCCACCCATCGTCCATCCATCCATCCATCCATCATCTATCATCCATCCATCTATCCATCTATTTCTTCACTATCTATGCTCTATCATCTTTTCTTAACTCTCTAAAACTATAAAGCCTGCCTCCACTCAAGCAACAGAAAACAAACACTGCCTAAATATCAAATCCTTTGGAGTTCTCTTCATAAGGCTTAAATGGGTGAATTATAGCTCCTTATTAGTGCTTTTATTTCTCTCCCATGCACATGACTCAGATCTATTGACTTACAACAGCAGCTCCAATGAGCAATATAGGGGGTTGGTGATTCTATACTCTAGTAGTGAAGTGACCTAATAAATAGGAAGTTTATGATTGCTTTTTTAATATACTGTATATCAAAATAAAAAAAACCATAGCATGTGTGGTCTGGTTTTTCCTTGAAAGCTTATCTAAGGTTAATGATACCATGGGTTTCCTTAATGATCAGGGAACAGAGAAGACTGAAGAGAGTGGAGAAAACGAGGCACAAAAGGAGGACAATGAAGATGCGGGCAATCTCGCTGAATCTCAAGAGAAGAATGTGAGTGTTTGCTTTTTGTACCATAGTTTCGCTGGATTCAGGTCGAGAAGCATTAAAGCACCAGGAGTCTTCCTGGGCACACTGAAGTGAGCGTGGAAGCCAGGAGCTGAGGGTTCAGCCAGGGAGGAAGCAGGGGGAAGTGTTCACTACTGTGGTCCAGGCAGGTTGAGGACTCAAAGGAAGCCAGAGCACCCTGAACCCAGGCCTGGAGGGACAGGCTAGACGAGGCTTTAATAATCTGTAGTTGTATTGTTAGGGCTAGGTTAGGTTCAAGTTCTTCATAAAACAAGGGACCTTATCCCTTGGTCATGAGTAATGATGGATTCCCAGCAAATGCCCGCCAAGAGCACTGCCTACTGGGGACACAGAGGTAATGGGCTGGGACATTTTGTGGGAAGCCAACAGGAGCTGGGGATAGAGCAGAGGCCTCGGAGAGGGAAACCCACACTCAATTCAGATCCAGTCGTGGGAATATCAGCGGCCCCAAGGCCTGTGATCTAATTCTAAAGGGGGTCCCAATTCAGGGGCCCCAGAATAAAGGGCAGGGGGAGTATGGGAGGGCAGAGGAGGCTGTAATTCTACAATGGCCAAGCTGAGTGAATGGGGGATCAGATGGGCCACTTAGTTAAGGAATTCTGAAAATGTAACTGGGAAGCCAGGTAAGGGGAGACGGTGGTGCACAGGGAGCTGAGCGGGTGGCGTTGCAGGCACTGGGCTGAGCCTGCCCTAGAGTTTCAGTGGTCGTAATGCATTGGGCAATTTGTAACAAAGACTGTTTACTGAACCATGATGGTTTGCATTTTTACCTATTTATGATTCTTTTTACCTATGTATTGATTCCAGGAGAGGGTGTAGACATCTTTTAAGATAGTTGGACTCTCATTCCCAGCAGATGGAATGTGGGTAGGAAGGGCCCTGGGGAAACGTGCTTTGGGCTTGTTGGAGTGGGCATGGGAATCAATTGGTCTGTATTATAGGAATTTAAATCTGGAGGAGCCAGGGCAGTAAATTCCTCATATTTAAAGATTGCTATCCCAAAGTGCTGATAATTTAAGACTCTTTGAAGTCTTTAGTTTGGAAGAAAGACAAGATCTTTAATCCTGACCTAGAAGTTAGATGGAGTTTCATGACAGCCTGTATCATTCAGAAATAATAAATTTTAAATTAAATATAGTGGCAATTTCATTACCCTGTCATTTAAAAATCCATGTTTTTATAATGCAGACTTTACAGGAATTGCCTAGTGCCTTCTTACAGTATTATCGATCTATATTTTTTGGGAAATCCAGTTTGCTTCCTGTAAGACAGAGAGACAAAGATAGGAAACATTGCACCCCAATCCCTTTCTCCTGGGGACTGAGAGGAAGGTAAATTTTCATAACTACAGCAAAGATGGGTCTGCTTCCTCTTCTCAGCTACTGTTTAGAGAGGTGGTAAGCCATCAGGCCTGGGGTTCTCTTTGTTAGTATTTTTTTTTTTAAATTGAGAACCCTTTACAAAGTAAATTATAGTCCTATAAATCCTGATAGGAATGAAAAAAAAATCATTTTTGTTATTTTTGCCTGGGCTCTGATGAAGATATGACTAAGTAAAAGACATTTTAATTTTAGATAAATGTATTATTCACATTAATGATCAAAGTCATTTTCAACTCTTTAATAATATTTGTTCTACATAAAGATAGATTCTGACTTTTTCCTATTTGACAAGCGATCCATGCTCTTTGACTTACTTTAATTCAGTCGTATAAGAAAGAAACCCCATGATTTGTCGGTAGGCATTACAAATGACACAGTAACATGATTAGCTTTGGAATTGAATATATAGGAAAATGGATTGAAATTTGAAAAGGAGACAAAACTGTCTGATATTTTGAATGGTTGCATTTTGTATTTAAAGAACCTCCCATCCGTTTAAATGGTTTTTGGGTTGGTTCTTATTTTATTTATTTATTTATTTATAAAGATTTATTTATTTGAGAGAGAGAGGGAGAGCAAGTACACGGCGGGGGCGGGGTCAGAGGGAGAGAATCTCAAGCAGACTCCCCGCTGAACATGGAGTCCAACGTGGGACTCACCTCACGACCCTGAGATCATGATCTGAACTGAAATCAAGAGTCAGACGCTCAACTGACTGAGCCACCCAGGTGCCCGTTGGGTTTGGTTTTCAAGGTTAAGACGGGAAGACCACCTAGGCAGTCTTCACACCTTTTGGCCCGCGGTGCACTCAGGCTCAGACAGGCTAATTTTTAACAAAGAGAGAAGCCAATTAGATTGCTGTGTTTTACCTCTCTAAACACTGATTTTCAAAGTACTAGACACATCCTGCTGGGTTCTTCTAGATCTTACAGCTCAGATCAATCCAGTGCTTTTTAAATAAACGCTGGCCCTGTTGAAAACTGCCTGGAGGAGATTTCATGGGGTCTTACCTGTGCTCCTCCTGGCCCTTTGTATGTGAACAGCGGGGCTCCCCCTGCTCTGTGGGGAATAGAAGGAATCCAGTATCCATGGGCCTCCATTTGGTTCCTAAGCCATGTGGCAAAAATGTCAGCTTCCTTTATTTGTCTAACAGCATGGTATCTGCTTCACGCCTCCACCTCATGCTGGCGGGACCTTCCGTCAGGGTGAGGGGCTGACGGGCACTGGCCCTTTGGCTGAGTCAGGCCCTTGGCCTCTGACGGAGCACAGCTGCTGCCCCTGGGTTCAGTGTCCCCCCTTCTGCCCCTCGGTCTCCAGTCTGGCTGCTTCCATCAAGACAACTCCAAGCCTAAGCTCCAAGCCCTCCCCCCCACCCTTTTTAGGGACTATCTAGCTTCATTGCCTCTCCTAGCTAGCCCAGGATCTTTAAAGCAAGGCTTCTGCTTTCTTCCCTAGGAGCCCAGAACTCCCACCAATCTGTGGCTCTCTTCTTGGAGTGTGGGAGGGGCAGTAACTCTACTCCCTGTCCCCAGTGTTGTGTGCCGAGGAGAACAACACATAATTCATATCCCGGTATTCAGCCACACTATGTATGACAAGGAGCCCAAACGTCCTTTCATCTTCCATTCTGAAATAATTACAGACTTACAGGCATGTCGTTCAGAGCCCTGTGTGCCCTTCACGTGGCGGCGCCCCATGCTGACATCTCCGATAGCCACAGTACAGTGTGGAAACCAGAACATGCTGCCACCGCCTCTCTGTGAAACAGACTGCAGAGTTCAGTGTGCACCATTATTTCAGACCTTCCATTTGTGTGTTAAGAACAGTTTTCGAGTGTACGATGGTAGCCACGGCCTCTGGCGGCTGGTCGCGGTACACGGAGGGATGAGACAGCTAAGTAATGTCTGGGCATGGGCTTGTTCTTCTAGCTATTGCACATGCTCATTCAGGACGTACTTGATGCCTTTTTATTTTATTTATTTATTTATTTATTTATTTTTTAACAATTTGACTTATTTATTTGAGAGAGAGACACACAGAGAGAGTGCAACCATGAGCTGGGGGAGGAGCAGAGGGAGAGGGAGAAGCAGACTCCCTGCTGAGCAAGGAGCCGGACATGGGACTCGATCCCGGGACTCCAGGATCATGACGTGAGCCAAAGACCGACACTTAACCAACTGAGCCACCCAGGCACCCCTTTGATGCCATTTTAATGGCCAGTAGTATTTGTCTAAGAATATCACTCTTGATTTAAAAACAAATCAGAAGTGGAGACAGAAACCATCACCTCCTGTCATGAAACGGACCTCCCTGACCACCAACACAAGCGTCATGGCTCTCAAAGACCATATGCCAAGATGCATCTTACCCACATGCTGGCGGGTTGGGGGGCATTTGGGAGGCAGGACAGTGAACACTGGGGAGACTGTTCATTCATGCCTGAGAAGACCTCCTCTGTTGCTCCAGACCCCAGTAGAGAGGGGACTTTGTGGTCGCCTTCCCTGCTGACCCGGGAGGGACAGGGGGCTAGGGAGGAGGGCCGGGCTTGTGAATGGTACCTGAGGAGGAAGGGAAGGAAGCAAAAGGTCACTCCAGCCCCAGGGCACACTCCGAGGGGGGCCTGCAGACTGGGGGCTTCGTGAGAACTTTATGGGAGACTGGACATGTCGCAGCTTTGTGTTTGGTTTCCACTGAGGTGAAATTATTTTAAGCTGTGCTCCTTGCCAACTCAGTGGTCCTCTCCAAAACCTCTTAAGACCTCGGCTTGACTGACTACATGATTATGGCTTGTAAAGCCCACTCAGCTTCCTCCACAACCGGTCCTGAGGAAAGTTGCTTTCTTGAGGGGCAGACGTTGGTTTAGGTCTTTTTTAGGAGCTGGTGAGTCTCAGGCTGGGTCCCTGCAGTGCCAGCAGATAGAGAGAACTCTGCCCTTGTCCCTGAGGTTTCCAGCCATTCGGAGGCCCTCTGCCCTCCTCAGGTCACTCTGGGCTGGCCCTCGGCTTCCTTCCACACCAGCCACCTGTCCTTTCCAGCCACTTCTGACACTCACCACAGCGGACACCTGTCCCTCATCCTGGCCGCTTGCCGCCTCTGCAGCCTGCCTCGCTGGCCAAGTTCCCAACCAGGATAGCTGCTGGGGAAGGTTCTAAGACTGTCTACTTCGGACGCTTCCCCTGACTAACTTTATTATAGGAGCAACAAGGTAAAATGATTTTAAGTTGCGGTTTTGTCAAGTGAATGATGCAGAGCCTGTCCTAAGATTTGCAGGAGCTTAGCTCAACTGACCATGTGATCATAATGATCCTAAAAAACAAAACAAAACAAAACCTTTTTGCTGGTATAATTATTTGCCAATCATAAAGGTCTGTCTCAAGCATTGAATATGGATGACTTTTAAGGTTCTGTCCAATTCTGATATTTCATAATTCTGTGAGCTAAGGACGGACGTTTAAGTTGTATTTCCATAATATACCCCCCCCATGAGGGATTCGAGGCAGAAGTCGCAAATATAAATGCATCCATTCAACATGTTATTGACAGCTTGTCTGCCCCCTGCCAGGCCGGATTCCTGGGGGGCTG